AACCCATTACGGTTTGGGGTATCGGTTAGGAGTGCAGACAAGTCACGCCATAATTTTTTTGAGTAAGAGTAGTACGGCTGAGTCAGGAAAGTACATGGTCATGCTCTTAAATGCATGCTTCAAAGAGCATGTCGGATCTTGACCTTGTGGCACCTCCGGAGGAAGAAGGTGAGTGCTGAGTTCTTATATTCAATTTTCTTTCCTGCATCTGAGGTGCTGCTGTTCGCAGTCGAGAACGTGATGAACCACTTGTGTCTAAAGTGTTACCACTTGTGGGAAATCTGAGAGAGCTCCACGGCACCGACCACCTTGTACACCCCTCTCAACTGAAAACCAAGGCGCAAATCGAAAGTCACCAGTCAAACTGAGTGGTGATGACAGCTGAAAGATTGAGGCCATTTCTCACAAAGCCGAAATCGATGATTCTTAAGATTAATTGGCATAAGACGGGAATATCTCTGGAGAGTGCCCCGAGTGCTTGTAGAGACTTCTAGAAGCCTTAAAAAGATGCCTCTAGTGTGCCCGAGTAGTCGTCGTTAGTGTGACGATGGATGACGTGGGGTTGCAATCCTAAATGTCCTTGGCCGACTGCTTAAGTGCGCGGACATTATGTAGGCTTCATCGACGTCCCCTAGCAACATCAATACGGGACGTTCTCGGGATCACACACGGCTTCCTGCGGAATCTTCTCGTCCGCTCTATCCATTTCTTCTCAGGTGTGCTCCTCAGGATTGCTTCCTTCCTATCTTAAATCTTCATGAAAGGAAAGGGTTCGTCAGCTTGGGGGGGGAAGTGCCTACGATGCCCGAGGTTTCTTTGCCCAGTCGGGTAACCTGAGCGGATCCGCACGTCGCAGGTGACTTCCGAGTCCGTGCGACGACGTCAGCGTCCCTCGAAAACTTGCGTGTAACTAGGCGTTAGAAGCGGAAGGCGACGTCGACGCAGAAGTGTGACTCGACACTGCAGTTGCCTAGCCAACGGACTGAACTCTCTCTCCGCGACGTTGTGGGCTCGCCATGGGCTCCGTGCCGCCGGCGCCTCGTGCCGTCGTTCGCTCTCTCAGCGCCATGTCTGCCCGCCTCTTTTTCGATTACTGCTTAGCTTGTCACACGCATTCGAGCATCGCCCTCTCGCGCATTCATTTCGTCGCCACCCGCTCTCTCGATCTTTTCACCCCTCTCGCCAAAACAACTCGAGCTCGCTGCTTCGTTGTCACTTCTCAAATAACGCCTCTTTTCCCCTAATCGTCCTCTCCTGTCCAGTCGAATTCGTATTGCGAGCCGAGCCATCCTTCGAAGGCTAACTTTGGCCGCACGGGCGCTCAAGGCCTTGTGGGGGGCACATTCAAAACCATGTTGTTTCATTTACTTGGGAATAGGCCGTTAGGGAGGGGAAGCGGGCCCGGAGGAGGGTGTGAGCAATTCTTGCTCTTCCTGGCGCTTCTCCCCTCTCGTGAGCTTCTTCCTGGGGTCTTTACCATCAGAATGTCCCCCCCCCCCCAAAGCCATGAGCGCCTTTGGCAGTTCCAACTGCCTCGAACATAAGCGTATGTTCCTCGCAAATCGCTCTTCCTAGTCGTCCACGTTCAGCTGGGTTTCCAAGCTCCATCGGGATTCCCTGTGCCTAGAATTGATTCTTTTTCATCGTTTCGTTAATTGATACGGCTCTTTCGAGGCATAGGAATCCCATTTCTAATCATTGAGCTCTTCGTGTGCCCTTTTCGCCAGAATGCCCTCAGCGGAATCGCAACGTTCATTCCTTTCGTTTTCTTTCATCATTCTGTGCATACCCATTAATTTTACCCATTTTCATAGGAAACGGGTCTTGAATTTCATTATTTCACCGTTCCATTTGGACTCCGTTTCTTTTAACATTCCTCTTAGGCATTCAGTTCTCTCTGAGGAATCTGATTTCCTCTTTCTTACCCTTTCCTTTCTTCATCTGGTGGGAAACCTTTTTGTTTTTCCTCCGTCTTCAATCTCCGCCCAGCCACGGGCATGTCTTCACCATTTCTAGTCGAGGCCAAACCCCTGGGAACTTGTTGCAAACAAACTTTAAAGAACCCTGGTAAAAACTGACATCTTCGAATCCCAAGGCCTCTGTGATTAACATCGCCTTTTATGGGATCGTATGGCATTCCCTGCGTCCGGATATCCCCTTACGGCCATGACCGCACTACTATTTGTGCAGTAATAAAAGGACGAGGGCTACATTCTCAGTGCGCCTAATTGAAGGGAAAAGGGACACAAATGCGAACGCAATCCAGCTCGGGAGCTCATTCAGCCTTCGGCCAAATCGCTGACAAACGTTGGGCACAACTGGCTAGATGAAACTCAGCAAAAAATGAGATTCTCTATCAACATGAATGTGATTTTCGGCAGTTGATGATTGAGTGAGCGTGAATTCGATTGAGAATGCCCATGGGAGGACGAGGCTCGCGGGTCCCCCCCCCCAATCGGTGCAACCCGAAGCATCGTCTTTAGCTGTGACCTCATCGCCTTTCTGTAAACCAATTACTTGGTGTCATCGCGGCTAATTAACTATAAGAAGCCTCTTCACGCGCTAATGCAACGAATATTCAGTGAACCCGAAGTGAGGGCCCCTTCTATGGTTCCTGTGGGGTTAAGGTAGCGGAATCTCGGGATCTGTCGTTATTTAAGACCTTTTGCAACAGCATCCGTGTGTTTGCGTCAGTAAGAGGAAATAATTCACCCCGGCCCTGACTCCTTTATTTCCTACGCGTTGTTTTCGCCGCCATCACCGTCCCTCTCCGTTAATGGCGACTGCAAAATAACTCATCAAACGGCTTCACTCTGATGAAATAACAATTGGCTTTAGGGGAGGGGTGGGATCGAAGGGGGTCAGGTTAATAACAATCGGCTTCGGGGTCCAACCCGGGCCAGGTGAATATGGACGAAGGGACCTGAAAAAGCAGTAAGAACTGTTTCTGGCGAATGTTTCTCTTGAGGCTTTCCTACTTCTCTCAGAACCTGCCGCGTTTCTTGAAGAACTTATCAAAAGAGCGGGCAAATTAGGGCACTGCATCACCTGGTTCGAGGGCCAAATCTGGACCTCATGCTCTCCTCGTCGAACGGTCGTTTCCATTCCCACGTGAGTGAAACAACACAACATTTCAAGAATTCCTTTTCTTATCCTCGGTGAGCCAAAAAGGCCGTTTTGGCCTCTCCACAAATTTCAGAGCGGTTGGTGCCAAGAAAATGGCGTGTCGAGAGCATAATTAATAGTTATGTTGTCCTCGAATGTGGTCGAACACTACAGCGCAAGCGCGAGTCGGGGGCTCTGGGGATTTGGCGTCGATCCAAGGATTCAATTTCGACCTTTGTTGCATGCCATTCCGCAGTCACATTTTCGATAAAAACTGTCCTGAAATTTGAAGGAGTGCCAGTCACGAGATATCCTTCGATTTTGGCTTCTATGGCTCCTGAAGATGGCAACCGCTCTGAAGCTCTATTATTTAGGCGTTACTTAGGCTTCATTGAGCAAAGGCTCCTTACCAGACTATCCTAAGAATCATTGAAGTTTCTTTTCTTGCAAGTTCGTCTTCTGAGCGACCTGTCAGTACCTCGGCAAGCTGACTGAATGGCTAAGAAAGTCATCACCTCATTCTCGAACCGGTTTTCGCGGCCTCTTTCGAGAGTAAGCTTTTCTCTCTATCAATCGCGTGTCACCCCAGCCCACGATTCCTCAAGACAGCGCCGTTGTTTGCGCCCTTTCGCTTCGTATCGGTAATGCCATCGCGACTCGAGCCTCAAATCCTCCGCCCCGATGTCGTGTGCGCGGTTGTATCGCCCCGTGAGTCACTACTGCCTCGACGAAAGCTCCCCTTTTACCCGACAAGGGACATTCTGCTGCTTTTTTCCCTGTCGACGCGCTTGGAGCTTTCTCGTTCTTCTTGCTCATATCGCCGTTTTTTCTACGCCACACTGCCCTTCTCTGGTGCTCAACGCGCCAGCGTCTTTTGTCGTAGATGACGTGATCGAGCGGCTGAGCCTATGCGAGTTTGATGATGCGGTATGGCAGGTCGCGGTAGAGTCACATCGAGTTAGTGTCGCGCAATCTCCACACCGCCGCCGGAATGTCATGTTAACTGACGGCCGGGGGCCCAATCCTCCGGCTTAACTTATATTCCGTGTGTGTGTTCATGGTTATTATTGCTCGCTGCGGATTATTCATTCATCTTCGCCCCGTGTCGGTGTTGTTTTCGCCTTTGCGCTGAACGTGTTCCGTGTTTTTTCTTGGGCGCGACTCTATGCATGCTTCCACATCTCATCTGCAGCTGACTCAACCAATCTGACATCTTCAGGAACACGTCAGTTCTCTCTGACGCCATAATGCGTCTGACGCTTTTACTGGCTATATGTGGCATAGCATTGGCCAAACATCATAAGCGGAGAGGTAAGTGCTTACCCTGACCCTTAGCGCCCTCCAAACCACTAAAATCAAGCTCTTCACGCCCGCTCATACAAAAAGTGATTTTAGTTCCAATCATTGACCTACATGGAGCCGACCAGTTGGTGGCGAACATTCGCGAGGACGAGAACGTTCTCACCACCGTGCCGGATCTTTCCATCGTTGCCGAAACAGGTTGGTAAATGAACTGTGAACTTATCAGCAAATTTTTTATAATTTTTTCTTCCTCCGACAAGCCCTCAGAGAATGTGATAGGAGTTTGTTTATCAGATTGGCTACGTGATATTGTGAAAGTTTCTCTAGATAATCCCACGGTTTTGTAAGCCGCTGTGAGGGATTAAGTCTCAAATCTCTTCTGGTATTTGTCCGGCCTTTTCTCTTGCGTGTGATTTTCTCAGTCAACACATACCTGTGGGATGCGCCGAGTTCGTGTATCCCGTTTCCGGGCTTGCTTCGAGGTCCACCGAGAAATCGCGAGCATCTTGATTGTGGCTCATCTCATGTTACAGTAACTTGCGGGAATGCTTGACCCATGATGACTTTAGCTCGGGTTGGACTTCATTTCTCGAAAAATGGACAGACGCGCACGTTTGTCTGCCACTGTCTCTATATGCTGGGTAGCCGACCGCGTAGGAAATTGGTGCTATCGACCATTGCGATGTTAGCTGCTGACCCCATCTACATTATACGCTCGAATGCCGACTTAACATACCAGAATGTCCATTAATGTGCGTTGTTTTCGACGACCTAGGACTCATCTCACCCAGCCATTTCCGACCGCCACGGGGGTTTACCCGTCATCTGGCTAGAATCGCATAAATGGGCGTGGACGTTGATTAACCCGCCTGGTTGACGTCGCCCGATCGATTATGACCCGAAGCCGTGGCTCACGCTGTGGCAACCGGCAACCTACTGCAGATGTAGCGCTCCTTACTGCGAACAGTAAGGGCCAGCACGGGCTAAAGTTGAATCTGAAGTGAACCACAATATCACTTGGGGGTTGGGGCGGCGGGGAGTCGTTCAATCCCAATCCTACCCCCAGGCAAAACTTGGGCGAAACGTTTTTGTGGGAGCTCATGGTTCGCCCCAAGAGTTGTGGAAAAGTTCCATCCTAACAGTTCTCTGCTGATTTGCATGGTTTGTGCTACGCCAGACGCTGAATTACTTCGCGGTAATGCTTAGAGTTAAGCCCACGAGCAAAACCTTCCCAAAATCCCATCAAAATATTGCAAAACCGTATGTCTATTTTATGAAATACAAGGGGGTGGTCAGGAGGAATACCGGGCTTTGTAGTGGACAAATCATTCAAACACCACGTAAGACATCTTGTTTTCATTACAGAACAGGACACGAGCTTTCAGCGGGGGGGCTGGAGAGAACAGGTAGGTGAGCATTCCCTTCTTTTTCTTTGTCTCATTCTATTTTCCCCGAACCTTAGCTGCCCTCTAAACCTAGCCTCAACTGATAGTACGAAACTAAACGTATAAAACCTAATAAAATATTCATCACCGAAACAAACGTGCGAACGTTTCGTGCGGTCCCCTTATCGTTCACCAAAACTTGAACCGTTCTTTATCATACAAGCGTGCGTGGGGGTAGTTCACCACTGGGCTATGAGTTTTTTATGTCACTTATTAAGTTCAGTAACTTTTCTTTGGTTCCTACAAGTTTTGGTAGTAATTTCTTTCGACTCTTTGAAGGCAGAAGCCTGTGGACGCCTGTGTTCGTGAATCTGAAGCGTTTCCTCTGAAATTTCTTGCGTGGATTTTCGGACTTTCACTGTCTGTGTGGGCTTGATGAGACTTTATCGCATGATGCATCAGTGCATTGCACTGACAGAAATGAAGGGATGCATCTTCGTTGCGAGCAAGTCTCGAAGGAAACGCATATTGCATTTGAAATCTGCTTCTAACACTGATTGGATACAAGATGTTGAACGGGTAAAAAGTGCAAGTTGCTGAGTGTTTGAAATGCGCCACACTTCACTTTCAGTTGAATCGAAAATGTTTTCGAATGTCTATTGAGGCATTTAATGACTTGGCTGTTCCAAGAACGTTCAAGTCACACTTTTCGCCTTTTCAGTCACATTTCCTTTTAATCGCCCTTCTCCAGTTTGAGGAGACGCATGGTTAGGCAGGGCAGCATTTTATGTTTTAGATAGGTTGAGGGCGATACGGTGCCTCTGTCACCTCACTAACTCTGCCATAACTTTGGCCGAAGAATGCCCTTGCTGAGAAATTTAGCGTAAGGGCTACAGTAATCTTAATCTCCTTAAATGCAACGTAAATGCCATCTGCATAAGTCGAGCTTTTACTGACTTCCGGGTTGTTTTTTTTTGAGTAGCTCCTCGAGAAGTTCTAGCAACGCTTTGACGTCTTTCCTTTTCGTCAACCCATGGAAAAGCTTGATAATGGAAACAATTTCGGAGCGCATCCCGGCCTGCGAACCTGTCTATAACTTTCTTCATTCCTCCAAAACAATGTAAACAATTCTGGGATGAATTAAAATTCTGGAAAAATACTCCTGGCTAGCTTTTTTTCGGAGTTTCTTTCTCCATTCCATTTCTTTCGCTCAGATGTATGATGCGCACATACAGAAGAATGTACATTACATTGTATGAAAATGTAGTAAGAACAACATACCGTATCTGAAAAAGAACGCAAAAACATATGAGCAGTGAGAAAAACATCTAAAAATCCATTTTTTGTGCAAACTGCTTTCTTTTATTCAATTTCCGATCCCAAGTTTAGATACAATGGAAGGGGGTTGACGCAGGGCCAGTCGTCCGTTATGCCACTTTAACAAAAAAAATTAAAAGAGAGACGAGCTCGAAATAAAGTATTTTGACGGGGTTTGTTGTGGATCGCAGCGAGGGAAGTTGTGGTGAGTAGAGAGGTGGATGGAGAATTTCGCGTAGAGACCCTCCTTAATAGGGAGGGAACGAAATCGTGAAACGTTCTTAAATCGCCACAAGCGGAGGTAACCCTGGCTTGGTGTGCCCTTGTAACGTCGCGAAGACCTCATGAGCACTGGATGTGTTTCCGATTTCAACGAAAATGGGTATACATGCGATTTCCGCTGTAGTCACTCAAAAACAGAAGCTGGCCTTTCCACTTCTCCCTGTCACGACAGTCAAGTTCAGCTGCACTCACTGGATACTTTCAGGTCCTGTTTGCAAGTACCTGCTGACTTCATCGGACAAAGAGGTACCGTTTGAAGTGCAGGTCATCGATCAATTCACTGGAGCAGCCGTCATCAGGGTGAAGGTAAGCCGCCCAAATCATCTTGAACGATTTATCTTTCCTGGAGAACCTGGAGCAGGTTTGAGCGCTTACTCTACCCCTCCTACCTCCCATTGCAATTAATCAATACTAATGGAGAGCCAATTAGTCCTGAACTAATCCAGTCCGTTTCAGGATGCATCCACACTGGATTGCCGGAAGAATCAGTACGACCTGCAAGTGGTCGCCGTTCGATGTGAGGACGACAGTATCCGCAGCGAACCGTAGTTGTTTTGTGCTCGGCTGGTCAGACTGTACAGTGTGAGCCGCAACAGGTCTCTCAGAGGGTGTGAAATGGAAGCGCCGAGGGAGCGTGCGGGTTACCGGGTGTCGCGGAGTATCAGCCTGCTTGACCGGGCGCTAGTTGGACCAGCTCTTCTCTGTTGGCATCTTATCTTGTCAATCCTATGCTGGATTTCTCTATCTCGCCTCACTATACCCTCAACTTTGCGCTAAGGGTCCAGTCTCACGGGTAACAATTTTCTGGGAATCGTAATTTAGGGAAGGGTTTTGTGAAAAGTTAGCACTTTCCGGCACACCTGCCCTGCATTCTTCGTTCCCATGTCTACTAGTCATGTCCACAAGAAGAAGTGATGTCGTAGCTAGTAATCTACATCGTCGCGGCCTATGTGAAGCGCAATTAATCTGTTTATTGCAATTCAAATGAGCGCGCAAATCTTCGCCGAGCGTGATTACGTCTATTAGATTACGGTAACTTGGCGTGTGCTGCTGCCTGCCTGCCACATACACACGCACACGCACACACACAACACCGGCAAACCTCGTCTACTCTCACACTTACAAGCGCCGAGAGAAGAGGCGGCGCCGAGTGACAAGTTCGTCACGAGTGTTTTTTTTTGTGCGCCGGAGGGCAAGCGAAACGTTCAATTAAACCCGCCCCGGGGCAAGTCTAGTCGGTGTATGGATCGATGTGAAAGGTTTGTAGTGGAATAATGCTCGGCATGCAACATGCGGAACACCAGCGAATGGTGGAACACCGTGAACAGGGTTAACTACGTTGTTAATAGTAAACGATGGACGATGGGGGGGTCGTACTGCGTGAGTTTATAGGGAGGGGGGGTCTTCCGCTTCGAGTCGCGTTCGTTACGCGCGTATATACCCCCCCTAGAAAATGAAGCAGTGGGATTATAGGTAGAAGTGGGGTAAATTGGTTGAAATTTAGGGAATTTTGGTAAATTTTTACTGTTTCATAGTGGGTATATACCCCCGCTCGACGGCATTTTTGGAGGAAAAAGTGGGCGGAGTTTGGTGGGTTGAGTGGTACCAGAATTAAATACTATAGAGAGGAATATGGTGGTCGAGGGTCGAAAAGGGGGTCGTACCAAGTCCACCTTGGGGGAGGGGGGGTCGTAAAAATTTTTGAAAAAGTAACAACGCATAGGACTGACTGGCTGAGCCCGACAGTTGAAGGAATGATAACGAGGAGGGAGGGATAGAAGATAGACGTGAGAGATGAGTTAGTGGCTTCATGCTTCGACGTGATCGGGTTTATTACACAGCAGGGGGTTTCCAAGCGATGGCACGGTAGCGCCAATCGCTCGGACGGTTCTGATGAATCACTTGGACCTTAAAAGAGAGGAGCCTTATAAAATACGATGCTTACCTCACTGGAGGCATCTCACATATGGAAGAGCCGCTGCAGGCACAAATTCACCGCGCGGAGAATGGGCTTGTTAATCAAGCCGTTCGTACTACATTAATATGAGAACGCCAATTCCAGACCGGGTAATATCCCAGTGATAGATGAGGCAAGGAGTGTGACGTTAACCACTTTGTTTACAAGTCAATTTACTAGTCGGAGAAAATCCAAACTTTCTCTTTTCTTTTCTTTACCGAAGTCCCCATCCTGTGTCAACATTGTGCACTTCATTTTAAGGTTGTTACCTTGGCTCTTCAGCTTAATTGCCGTTGTAAGCCTCTAATGGCATCTTTACAATAACCTTAGCTATTCTTACGTCTTTTAATTTACGACACAATAAAAACTGTGATGGGGTAAAACCTTCGGGAGAAGCATAACGATCCACCCGAATTTTAAAGATGAATAGGCAATTAGAGGTCGACATTGACAATGGGGTCCCATCGGCTAGCTGGTTTGGGGTTGCTACTTTTTTGGAGGCCAGAAAGGTCTCAACAATTCGCCCAGTTTTTCTCGATTTTTTCGTCAATCTACTATATTCTATTCGATAAAAGGATAAAGGATAAAGCATTTGCCGTTGATCAATCCCTTTTTGGGATGCGGCACGCATTCTACTTCCATTTGTACATTCGCAGTGGCGTTTGAATGCGATGTGGCCTATACAATGACTTGCGGGGGCCAGCCGATGTACAAGTCAGTTTTTTTATCCTCCCAGACAAGTCTGGTACCAATTAACCGACCCCGGAGGGATGGAAGGCTTGGTTGGCCCGGGCGACTCACGACCCAGGATTTGATCCCGGACCGCTCGCGTGGTGAGCGCGCCACTTGTCACTGCACCACTTCCGCCCTGATTTTATATGCCTCTACTATATTTTTTTTCTGATATCAGAGTAATCATGTAAGAGGTTCTATGATGTAAATACTTATCCTGGTTATCTCGGGGATGAGAACGTAGGCAACCGTGCATCATCGTGGCTTATCTCAGAGGCTTCTTCCACGATGTTACTATGGCACAAAAATATAGGGGATACAGAGGAAGAGCAGTGGAGAAAATCGAGCTGGTGATTTACTATTTATAACATTGCCATCCAAAGTAATCATCATTTTTCCTCTTATTTATTTGCATAGCGTGTTCATAAGGGAGGATGGTAAACAAACACATGTGGGTGATGGATCTTTGAGTTACGCGAATTCCTGCAAACGAAAAAATCAGTCAATTTTTCGGTTTGCTTTGGCAAAATAGTCTAGTAGGAATAAATGCTGGTCGTCCCCATCGGATGCGCCATGCACTTATCTCGGGTTTGAAAATGTGATAACCTTGAATGCTCACTCTCTCGGTGCCATGACTGGCTAAGAGCATGACAGTGCTTGCTTCACTATCTCCTATTGTAACAGATTTGTTTTCTGTCGTCCAATTCAGTGTTACCGACGCTGGGGTCCAGTTGTCCAGGACGGGAAACGATCTCCAAAAGTGCGGCATGGCGCCTCCAGTCTTTGCGCTATATCTAAGCTCTCACTATAGCCTTGGAGAGGGCGGACTCAAGTCAGGGCGCTCCAAAACCGTGATGAGGTGCCACTAAGGTCAGGCCTTAAGGGAGGGCAGAAATGCTATGGAGAATCTCATCAGCCCCAGGAATCCATTCACCTCCTTAGGGCTTATTCCCATGTACTGTAACTGGCACGAGCACTTGACGGTCCCCCCCCCCATCGATATGAGCGCCTTCTAAGCTACCAATAACCGTTAACGAGTTTCAGGGTTCTACTGAAAGTATCGGTGAAGGACACAAACAACCATTCACCTGAATTCGACAGCCCATGGTACACATTCACCGTCGATGAAGGTAAGCAACAATATTCTGAGCGTTTTGCCTTCCGATGGGTGTTCTTTGCTCTCAGCGCTAAAAAGAGCTTGATTTCAACATTTCAGGGAAAGTCCATGATGAAATTGCCGTACTGAAAGCCACTGATGCCGACTGTGGTAACCCCTACGGGCAGATTTGCGATTTCGAAATCGCCAATGGTCTCAACGATTTCCCATTTTCCATAAATAACCAGGTTTGTTGGGAAATTTCTCTTGCAAGGCTCCATTGCGAAACGACTCGAACACACTGCAATGAAATCGATGAACCTAAATGAGATACGGGATTGACTTTGTGAAAGGAAGTTTTCATCAGTTTCTCAATTTCCAGGGAGTCTTGCGGAATACCAAGCCGCTAAACTACACAGCCGCGAAATCTTACATTCTTACGGTAGTGGCAATTGATTGCGGAATGAGACGAAGCAAAAGTGCTCTGGTTACGGTAAATGTGAAGGAGACCTGTGTTCAGGGTCATACCGGCATCACAGACAGGTGCGCCTCCTTGGATGTTTCCTATTTTGTGACCCGTTGTTATTCCTTTATTTTAAGGCTCAGCTACATGGCCGGAAATGGACCAAAACTCGTACTGCCGAATGTGCAAGCTCACATTTGTGCACAGGTACGTCAGCTGTTAATCCAGCTGTGTCGAGTTAATCAAGCCTAAACGATTCCGTTTAAGAAATCGGCTTGTGACGTAAAGAGTGTTCACTCAACGGTTAAGCTCCAAGCAGGTCATGTCACTGAAGGGTGCTCAAGGGACACACTGTTTACTAACGAGACCTTCGAAAGGTGAGTTATCTTGACAAAGATGCATTATAACGGTAATCTGACGGCCTCGTGTTCAGTTGCGGACTTTCTTCGGCCACAGTCTCTCTGCTTCCGTCCAAGTCAGTCTTTGAAGAAGAATCCTCTCCAGCAGATGTTACCTTTGATGGTGCCACCAATGCGATCATCGTGTCCAAAGATACTGTACCCAGTACGTTTTCTGAGCTCCTATCCTGATTTCTGGAAACTTCAGGCTGGCTTTTAAGATAGAAAAACCTGAAAATGATTTTGAGTGATTCGTCGTAGAAATTTGCAAGGCTATAGGAATATTGGGCACTATTTACCCTTTACTGCCCCACTCCTCGAGAACTGAGCCGGATTTTTATCGAAATTGGTCATTGACTGTGAATTTGGCCAGAAACTGCCTTCGGAGGCAATTCGACCCGCAGAACACGAATATCATATTTGTTCACCGCTAGAACGCCTGGCGCT